GGTAGTCCAGCAGAGCATCAAGATGTCTTGGAAAAGGTAATCCAGTTATCACTGTATTTGAGAAAAAAGGTCCCCCCTCCATAATTCCTAATGTATTTGGAGAAGCAAGTCATTCTGCAAACAGCTGTTCCTGTTAAGATCCTGTGACTGACAAAGGGTAATTTTCAGCTTCCTAGGGTCCTTTTCTTATTCTGATGGATGGTAGAGCTTTCACTCATGAACATTAAAAAGTACATTTCACAGGGTTTTTCTGCCACCAAGTGCATAGGGAGTTTTGTATCTGACAGACTCTCACTCTCATAACTCCCAAGACTTAGGTGGAATTTGAATCTCTACAATGCTGCTTTTCTCTCTCAGTCAGAGCCTTTGTACTCATTTGTGAAAAGCCTGAAGGTAGGAAAAAGGAAATAGATTGAATTTTGGAGATTTTAGAAATGCTCTGCAACTTTTTCCTTTGTCTGTCATCAACTTTTTGATGCCAGTGTGTTTCAGAAATCTCATTGGTCATTTTCTTCCCCTGCTGTTTTTTGGGTGCGTTTTCAAAGAAAGTAGATGGGAAAGGGGTGCTGGAAGATCCCCAGAGGCAGTAGCCCTTATTTCAGCAGAGAATCACTTTCCCCTTGAATCACTTTGCTGTGTTCTTGACTCAGTATCATAATGAAAGACCAGATGAGAATGATTTGTTTTTAAGGTGAGAGGAGATGGAAAAGGAGTGAAATTGAGGCGAGCATAAATAAGCTTGCACTCGAATCTCTTCAGTGCTGCGTTAATTTTGTGTGGATACGCAGGGCAGGGAGAGAGAGGTTTACAGGTCTTGACTAGCCTTAGCTGCTGCCTTTAGGATATAGCCAGCTCTACCAGTGGATAGCGATTGTCACAGACACAACATTTATAGGCTCATTTATGACATGGTCTCATAATTTGCACTGAGCACACGGCAGCTGAACCTGTGGATCTAGAAGGGAGGGCTTGGGACACCATTGACTTGGCTTGGGAAACCTGAGGGGTGCTTTTTTGGTCAAACCAAGATGGCTTCTAGGCTGTTATAGACCCAGGGTGGTGGGGTATCTTGTGGCCCCGTTCTGAGTGCTTAGCTGGTCTGTGGAAAACATTGGAGGCTTTCTAATCCACAGTCACTGGGTTTCCAAAGGACAAAAACAGTAAGTGATTACATACTGTGCTGGGCAGATCCCTCCCCAGCCTCCACTCCATCTCATCCATACATGCTTACCAAAGCCTGAATCCCCTACAAGGACTACAAGCAAATGTTAGCAAACATTAAGAACAAAGTTTGAGGCACCCTCCCCAACTCCAATTAAAGTCTTTTGGCCTATAATTAAGTTTGGACCTCTTGAAAAATGAATTCTACACAGAGGAGATTGATTATCACCAAATGTTGTGCATATAAATATATTATTCTGAGTTCTAAAGTCATTTTGAAAAAACAAGGGGCTTGGTTTTCTTTTGAAATATTGTGTTCCACAGATAACATCGATATTAAATTATTCGGTCTCATCTATTGTTTGGATAGAGAACGCTGGGTGTTTTTTTCTTTTATAAGCTTTCTTGAACATAAGCAGCAGTCTCTGGTAAGGTAGTATTGCTCTGCATTTGCATTGTTATAGAATTAAATTATGGATTCTGTCATTCAAAAGAGACGGCTTTATAAATCAAGTAAGATCTAGTAAGATGAATAAGTTTTAAAAAATCTTATGCTGCCTCATATTACATTCTTTAGTTTTATAGCCTAAGTTGATACAATTTTTAGTGTAGTTCTCTTTTTTTTCCTATTTCTGTGTACTGTTTTTGCTTTGTAAAACTGTCCTTAGTTTCCCAAGAAAAAGCTTAAGGAAAGTTATTGTATGTAAAGGACAGTGATATAAAGGCACAAAAGCAAATAGTAATTCTTTATCTGGAGATTGGCAGAAAATACGCCAAATACACTGTGTTCTCTACCTCCCTTCATTCCTCCCCCTTCTCTCTGATTACATTCAATATAAATGACATTATAACTCTAAACTGTAACAAATGGTAAAACCCTAACATATTCTTTTCCCTTTAAAGAAAAAAATCTATTGTTTAAAATTCCTGAATGTAAGAGACAGTCCTCATATAGTGGGTTTTTTTTTTTTTGAAGGGGGTTACAGATTGTGTTCCGGTTAAATGTTTATGGTCATGTTTCCCACTTGTCTGGTTAAACTATCACGGTGGGTTGGCAACCCTAAGGCAATCCTGCTCAGCAGGTGCCTAACTTCTTTTTTCAGGGCTGCTATGTAACTGTCCCAAAGCATGGGAATTGGAGCGATGGCCCTAAATGCTAGTATGCAGGAAGAGGAAAGACTGTCTAAGGAGAAGGAAGGTCAGGAATAAGTTATGTAGACCTGGCTAAGGGGCAGGATTTCCAAATGCAGCTGCAGTTAGTGACTTAAAAAAAGGGGAGGCCCCTGAAATTCAGAAGAAGGGTCAGAGGTAGAGATAGAGATGTAAGATCTGAGCAATTGCAGTGAGAGATGAAACTTTACAAGATCTCCATTTCTCCAGGGGAAAGAGATTAGAGAGCAGAAGATTCGGGACTGTACCTGGGGGGAGTCTTTAATGTTAGGGTGTGAGAGGAGACAGAGGAACCCCGGAAGTATAAAGTGCCATGCTTGGCTGTGGAAGCCACCAAGTGTCACTGCTTACCCTGAGCTGTTCATTCGGAGCCAGATCATCTCAGTTATGCCAAGTGGAGGGTGGAGAATCCGGGGACTAAAATCCTTGGGAGTCTCTTTGCCTTGATGCAGGTAGTAGTAGATGTAAAAAGAAGCTTATGTTTTGTCTTAGGGGGCACATGAATGGGGGCGGGGGACCCTCCATTATTGTACTTTTTAGCTCATATAAGAATTTCCTCATAGTCCTTACATGTGCTGAAATTATGTAGCCATTCCTAGGCTACTTTTATGAATTCCGGAAGATTCAGGAAGGGTTAATACCATTCTCATCTCTTACTCCCAGTACATTCTTCCTTTGCCATGATTTGCAGAGGAATGTAAAGGTACATTGAAACAAAGCTACTGTTTGATTTTATAAATAATTTGATTAAAAGTAATTGATCAGCTCACAGCAAAAAAAAATGTGATGATGAATATGTAGTATGTTCATGTATAACTGAAAAATTGTGCTCTACACTGGAGTTTGACACAATGTTGTAAAATGACTAGAACTCGATTAAAAATAAATAAATAGATCAGTGGCTTAAAAAATAAATAAATAAAAAATAAAAATAATTGATCAGTTGGAGAAAGAAAAGGACAGAAAACAAGAGTGGCTGCCTTGATTTCTCAAGCTGTGGTTTAAGCTATACTCAGCTTCTTGCCAGGGAAGATAGAAGAGCCACCTCGCCCCATTGATCTAACATTGCAAAGAACAGTTGCAGTGCGCCTGGTTTTGCATTAGCGGAGCTCTATCACGTTTTGAAGGACACACCTTGATTCTCTGAAATGATAGAAATGCTATTGGGTAAACCGTTTTGGCATCGTAAATAAGGAAAATGCATAGCATGTGTTGAAAAGGCTTGAGGAACTAACTCCTTTTCTCCTGGGAAGTCAGGTGGCCTAGCAACTGGCACTCTTGGGTTCAAACAGTTGCCTTTTTTCCACCCCTCCCTGCAGTAAGCTCCTGCACTCTTAAGGCATACGCGTCTTTGTAACTGTGGGAAAAAGAATTTCTAGCAACTGTGCTTCTCTAAAAGGATTGTGGTGGACCTAGTAATCCAAATGAGAGAATCATTAGCTGCTTTGTATAGTACTCAAGAGTTAAACAAAGACAACAATAGGTCGCATTTGACAATGTGATAAATACCTGTTCAGTGACATCCTTTGCCGCCACATGGTAAACACTGTAATTAGCAGCCATGTCAGCATTTAGGTAACACCAAAGGCATGTTTGGTTCCACAGGACTGACATATCTTCCTGTCTGGAAGTGCTTCAAACATCAATAAAACATTTAAATACCCGAGACTCCAAAATACACTTTGCTCTCAGTTATCCAAGTGATCCAGGGCCAATGCTTCTGGAATCTAAAGAATGGCATGGCTGTGAGGTGTAGAGATTTATTCTTTGAGTAACAAAAAGGCACTGGATTTCAGGGTGGTTCTCCTTTTGTATGGATGCAGAAAAAAGGACTGTAAAGCCTAAATCGTCCAGAATAATGGATTTAGAAGGTATATTTGTGTGTATATATTTAACCTTTTCCCTCAGTTTTCTTGATTATTTATATAGGTAGATCCAAATCCTAAATTATATTTAATTTTTTGGTCTTATTTTGGGAGGGGGGTAATTAGGTTTGTTTATTTATTTATTTAATGGAGGTGCTGGAGATTGAACCCAGGACCTCATGCATGCTAGGCAGGCACTCCACCACGGAGCTATACCCTTCTCCCATATTTAACACACATGATTTTATGTCTCATGTTGGGAAATTTTTATTTAAATCTGTAACGTTATGATGATGTCATACTATTCCTAATGTTATATATTTTAAACCTAATGTGATATATACCAAAGTACAGCAGAGCGAAGCGGCTAAGAGAATGAGTTCTGGAATCAGGCTACCTGGGTTTTAGTTCTGGCTTTGTCACGTGTTAACTGTGTAAGTGTCTCTTAGTCTCAGTTTCCTCATCTAGAAGATGAAAATTATGAGAGTATCAATCTTAGAGGGCTTGAATGAAGACCAAATAAGTTAATTCATGTAAAGTATTCATTACGATTCTTCACATATGCTAAGTGATTAGTAAACTTTTTTTTAATTTAATTTAGTTTTTTCTTTGGGGGGAAGTAATTAGGTTAGTTTGTTTATTTTTTTTAATGGAGGTTCTGGGGACTGAACCCAGGACCTCATGCATGCTAAGTGCGTGCTCTACCACTGAGCTATACCCTCCCCCCTAAACTTCTATTCTTTTCTTTTCCATACCAGATTTTTAGAAATATGAATGCAAATTCAACTAATTCTTCATTTGTAGGGTCGGTGTGCTCGAGAGAACTGCAAGTACCTTCACCCTCCTCCCCATTTGAAAACGCAGCTGGAAATTAATGGACGGAACAATCTGATTCAACAAAAGACTGCCGCAGCCATGTTCGCCCAGCAGATGCAGTTTATGCTTCAAAATGCTCAGATGTCATCACTGGTAAGTCACTGCTCTGCTTTTTAAAAAATTGCATGTGTATGTCTTTTTTGTTTTTAAGGATCTCCATCTACATTGGAATAGCCTTGCAGGGCCTTTGGAAAGCTATTTAGGGTGCAAGCTGATACGCGAATGGACACTACAAAGCTGCTGTGCGTGGGAAGGGAGCAATCAAGTGGTTTGGATTTAAAACCTGGGTTGCATCAACCATAAACTGAGTTTCTAAAGGAATATTAATAAAGAAGCAGGGACATTTTAAAATGAGGAGGAGGTTTGATTATTATTACACGTAAGCATTTGAATTTAGGATATGAATTCAAGGAGATCTCCTTGCTCTATGATGGTAGTTTTGTTGTTACTTTTTATTTTAAAAATAATTCTAGATTTAAAGGAAAGTGGCAAAATTAGTACAGAGTTCCCATGTTACCCGTCACCTCACCCGGTTTCTCCGACTGTTAATATCTTATATGTCCGTGGAATGCTTGTCAAAACTCAGGAACTGACATTTACACTTTACTGTTAACTAAACTCCAGACTTTGTTCACACTTCACCAGATTTTCCATTAGCGTGCTCTTTCTGTTCCAGTGTCCAGTCTAGGGTACCACAGTGCATTTCTTTGACCCCACCTCTCTCCCCTGCTGTGTGACTGTTTTTCAGTCTTTCCCTGTTTTTCCCTGATCTTGACAGTCTTAGGGAAGACTGGCCAGATATTTGATGGGGTTTTAACTTAAGCTAGCCACAGAGTTTCCCTTTGCAGAAATTAATAATATTAGGTATCATTCTAGACCAGTGTCCAGTATTTTTCGTGAATCAGTGAATTTAAGTGGATCATTTAAAAAGTAATTTTGTCCTGTGGAGAATTCATCTGGTACTGATACCTTAAAATATAAAGTTGCAGTTTGTTCTTAGACCTTTTAGGGGAAATTGAAAATTGTCCCTTTCTACTGAGTTCTTCCAGGTCTCAAATTCAGTTTCACAGTGTCTCATTCTAATTCCAGCTGGCCTACTTCTCTTAAATCATCACCAGGATACTACTTTGAAAGGATAATGTTGCCTTTGTTACTCATTTCATTGGTGACTAGGTCATAAACGCACTGAAAGCTGAAAGCTGGGTATAGTATTTAGATGCAATGAAAATGTGGGAGTAGGTCAGTCTGGTCTCAGCAAAACCTATCTCATTATAAAGTTGCTTCTCAGAATTCAAGGACATCTGTGTAGGTAGGGCACCCCTTTTTTAGTACATCTTTATAAATAATGCAAAAAAAAATAGGTGGTAGGGGCATTGACAGGTCACTAAACTTTTGTACCATGATACCCTTTCCAGAATGTCTAGAAAAATTCGAGAAACATAAATAGATCTCGTGTTTTATATTATTAGTTTGCCAAAAACATTTGCCTTTGAACTCAGTGCTGATTACATTGATAAATTCGTTCCCAGAAGGTCACCAGTGGGCTCCTCGGCGTTCCTCCTTGACCTTTAGTAATACTTTGTATGGTTGAATTCCTCCTTCCAACTCTCCTTAGCTTTCACGCACTGAAACATTTCAGTTCCTCCCTACTTCTGAAGGGTACAAAAGACAAAGTGTTCTAGATACTGAGAATAGTATGAACAAAGCCACAGAGAAATGAATAGGCTCAGTGAGTCCAGAAACTGTGAGTAGATGGGGAATAAAGCAAGGGAGGCTTTTACCCACCATATTCCTCTTGGCCTCTTGTGGGATGTCCCAGTTTCAGACTGAACAAATACGAGCCAGGTTTTATCACACACCTGAGCCCAGCACTGCCTACACAGCTGGAGCATACATTTTTTCATAGGTCAGGGGACATCAATCAGCTGCCTTGTTTCAGGGAATCAGAGAGCAAGGCCTGGGGTAAAGTAGGGGTAAAGACGGGAGGCAGACTATCCATCTTTCATTCAGCCTCCAGTAGAGTATCTCCATTCAAGTCCCAACCCTTCATGCGTTATTGATCATGCTGGCTCACACTGGAGAATTGGGAGTGGCTTTTTTAGAGTCCAGTGAGAGACATCCATTGAGTTTTTTGGCCTCTTGCACTTTCTAATTTGATTCTCTATGCTTTCTATAATTGAATACATTTCCCTTTTTTCTTTGATGAGGGTAATTTCAGCTCTCAGGCTGTAGAATATGACTGATATGACTCACAGGAGAACAATTTCTTTTATAGCATATCACAAGAAACAAGACATTACTTAGAAGACCCTAGGGAACAATCAGAAATTGCTTTTCTACCTTGTAGGTTATTTAACAATCGCTGTTGTGATGTGATAAACTGATAAAAGATTAATTTCTGCAGTTATTATGTGTACAAACAGCTAATCCCGAGACAATTGATATGATCTTCTTTTGTGGTCTAGAAAGCTGCTTTTGTGTTGTAATTGATCTAGTGTGAGCAATTTTAAGTGACATTTACCCGTCTGACTTGAAAGAAACGTTCTTTATTCTGGATCTTGGTTTTACTATGGAAGTAATGTAGAATTTTACTTCATCTCTTTGGTACCTACTCTCCCCAAACAACACTTTGTCCCTAAAATATTCAAGCTTTTGTGTAAATTTCCAGTCCTAATATTTGCATGGCTGCATATTAAGACTTGTTAGGTATCACTGTTTTGAACTTCAGGTCTTCCCACAAAGCACACTTTGATCAATTTCTGGGATACCAGAAGAGCACATATGCTTTTGGAAAATTCAGTGTGGTTTGCTTATTATAAGCCTCCAGATAAAAGAAATGTCAACCTAAATGTAGCTGGAGAATGGATTCTGTTCAGTGTGACCGAACAATGAGTAAAAGCCACACCAACTCAATTTGAGTAGAATGCTTGCTGTAGCAGGCAAGTTTGTTCACTGTAATTAACAGGGCTGAATTGACATTTGCTAATATAAAATGCCACCTCTGAAAGCTTTTTTGTTAGTTGTATTGACGAAGTTTAGCAAGTGAGACTAGAGGGTGTGACAGGATCCTTAGTGTTTTTCAGTGCAGTTTAAGAGAGAGTTCTGATGTTCACAGCAAAAAATGACACAATTAAGAACTCCCCTTGGCATAATTAAGAGGCAAACATGAGCCCTGTAGAAGAATTTTAGGGAAAGCAAACATGCTGGATTCCTACCCTCAAGCAAAGCTAGTGTTTTAAAATTTCAGGTCTTTTCACAACTTGGAATTTTCATTACCTGGGGGAAGGATTCTCTCTGCTGAATATAATATATGTATTTATACGGTGGATATGATGCTATAAGGCTATTAAAAGTATTTTTGACTTAGACACTTTATATAATCTAGACCTGTCCATAGCTAGGAAATTCCTTTTGTTTCTCTCTCTGAACGTGGTGATTCACATGGAGGCAGTTCTTTAAAACACAGGTAAATTTGACCCAGTCGAGTGTATTCACCTGATTTATACAGAGGTTATTGGCTCAGCCATTGGGGTGTGCCAAGTCCTCTGGTCTGGTGTATACTTTTCATGGCTTGAATTCCTATGGCCACATTGTGGTGTTCCAAACCACAGAGCCTGTCAACATGGGTTCCACTTCAGGTTTTTTCTTTATCATAGATAGAACCATCTGATGTCTGTCTGGACCCTCCCCACCTTTTTACATCATTTTCACAATTCTGTTTATCAAATAAATTTCTCATAAACCAGCTTATACGTCTATCTGAAGTTCTAACACTTCAGAACCAAATGGTGAAAAAATAGGACGTTCCAGTAGATAGGAAGGGAGATGTACTAATTAATAATACCAGTATTTTTAGACTCCAACGATTTTACTGTTTTTCTAATTTACTTAAATAAGAGCTATAAGATGTTACTCTATGAAACTGGACTAGGACAGATTTAGGTGAATAGAAGTAAAATGGCAGAATATCTGTTTACTTTTTAAGAAAATGTTAAGTAGTTGAATGATTTCGTAAAGACAAAGGATAATACCCTTCCCTGATCAAGATACATTAGACATTTTGCATATTCACATCAGTTACAGTTTTTCTGGTTCACATAAACTACCTACCAGCTGAAGTATTTATGCTGTCTCCCAGTTGTCAGGGCTCTTCTATTAAGAATTATCATTAAAAGGGTAAGCAAGACATTTTGTACATTTAATGGAAAAGGAAACAATGTGCATGTTCCAGATTACCAGTCTCAAAGTCAGTACAGAAATTACAGAGGAGAGGGTATATAGCTCAGTGGTAGAGCATGGTTAGCATGCACGAGGTCCTGGGTTCAGTCCCCAGTGCCTCCATTAAAAAAATAATAAATAAACCTAATCACCTCCACCCAAAAACAAACAAACAAAAAGCAAAAGAAAAAGAAAGAAAGAAAGAAATGATAGTGCATTTTACTGAAGATTCTTCAGAGAGTTTCTCAGGTTACCTACTCATGAAATGATAAATGATGACATTTAGCTCTCTCATCCTAGATGTGATGACATTAAATGTTTTGTAAAGTGACTTTTGCCAAATGTTCAAGTCAGATTTCAAGACAGGTGTTGTGTAATTATAAGGTTAATATGATATTAATATAATTATGACTCTCATGATCATGTGAAGTTCCACTTTGACTGAGGTTGACCAGATCTCATCACAGGAGTGTGTGGAGTAGTACCACCTGATGAGCTCAACATTTTATCGTGATTTTACTAAGTTTTCTTAAAAAAAATTAGAAAAGATTTTACTTTTAGGTATAGCAACTAAGACCTCACACATGTATTTGTCCTACAAATTGTTCCCAGGGGTCGGCTTACCCCGAGGTGAGTAAAGGCTCGAGACCCCTCATTTGCATGGTCTCCTTCCAGGGCCCCGGGAGGAGGCCTGGCAATGTGTTTACAATGTGTTTGGAACATTTGCCAAAGATATTTGTTCTTAAGGCTCCCCTCCCCCATCCAACTACCTAAACCTCAGACCCTGGATTTACTCCTGATTGCAATTACTGGTCCACAGTAGAGCAGTCATTCAGGTCCTTTCCCCAGAATATATATTGTCACACAGCTTAAAG